AAAATTCCGTGGCCAAGGCATCTCGGGCTTGGCCACGGCCTAGATGCCTCGCCCACGCCCGCGGGAAAAAAAAAAAAACAAAAAAAAACAAACAAACAAACAAACAAACAAACAAACAGAGAAAAGCTGAGTGCCTGAGGCCAGAACGCTGAGTCCCTGAGTCCCTGAGGCCAGAGGCCTAGGGGTCCTTCGCTGTGAAACTTGGCAAAAAGCTGTATTTTTATTTTTGCTGGCAAACTAGGGGAACCCGATAAAGCTGCAACGAAACCTCTATTTTTGCAAAGGAAACTTTGACCGGACGACATCTTTGCTGCCAAACTCGGAAGGAGCAATATTTTTGAAATTAACCCTTTCTTTTTTCTTTTTTCTTTTTTTTTCTGAGAGAGACAGGAAATTTCCCATAGCGTTGGGGGAGGAATGAAAAAAAAAAAAGAAACACGTAATCCCACCAGCGACTGGATAATTCAGATGTCAGAACAAAGCGAGGGGAAATCATCTACTCACACACACACACCAGGAGTTTTCGGACGAAGCTCTCTCTGGACGTGATTGAGCTCAGTAACATCCAGACTAAGCCGAAATTGCGGTCAGATTCATCTACGAAGCTCTGGACGTAATTGAGCTCAGAAACATCCAGACTAAGACGAAATTGCGATAAGATTCATCTACTAGCCAAGACCTAGTGCGAGCATGCCCCATGTCACACCCACCCAATCTTCACCCCAATCGTCTAAGGTACGGCTGAAGCCTGAAAGTCGTTCGTTTGCAAAACTAACCCACCCATGATGCCATGCACAACGACAGGTGCCCATGCACGTAGGTGATTCCGAACACCTGACTCCCTGCAGTGGACGTAACAACCGTCTTCACCCGAATACAACGCCCGGTCGTTACGCCGTATTTGGTGCAATTTTCGGTCCAGGTACCGAGGTTGGGTTTCTGCGCGGCTCAAAGTTTTCGACTATGAACCTACAGAGGTTCGGTTTGTGTCCGCTTCAGAGAGGGAGAAGGGTCGGAGCTGATAGTTCATCAGAGCTGCATGGAGCCTAAGCTCGCAGCCTGAGGCCAGAAGATTCATCCCTCCCCCTTACCCCCCACCGGGCCCACCCCACCCCCCTTAAAAAAAAAAAAAAAAACAGAGAAAAAAAGAGATCATGAGCGGTCGTAGATGAATACTACCAGTAGGTGTTAACCAGACAGACAGACACTGTCAGATGATTATACCAAGATGGCTTTCTCCCCCCCCCCCTTTTTGTGTTTGCCTACCAAGATGGGTTGAGCTTGAGCTGGTCGGTCTCTCTTGCAAAGAGAACAAAATTGACGTTATCGATGAGGCTAGTAGGTTATAATACCGCCAAAAAAAACAAAAAAAGCAAATTTAAAGCAAAAAAACCCTCCAAGGCGTAAATGTTTTTCAAAAGGGGGGAAAAAAAAAAGACAAACCACCGAACCCAAGGAGGGCCGAAACTGATCAGTCACGTAGGCTGAAAAACTGCATGGCCTTTCTTTTTAAAAAAAAACAAAACAAAATCAAAAGTTTTTTTTTGGCCTTTCTTTCTCCAAACAAAAAAAAAAAGCAAAACTTCATGGCCTTGCTTTTTTTTTTTTTTTTTTTTTTTTTTTTTTTTTTTTTTTTTTTTTTTTAAAGCAAAACTGCATGGCCTGACGAGACGCAGATCGACCGCCGTAGCTGCAAGAAAGCGTTACACCTGCAACGAATTTTTTTAAAATATATTTCTATTTTTTAGAAACGATTGTTTTAGTTGCACTGAATCGACAAAGAAATCAATGACAAAGAAATCAAGACGTTGCATGCAGCCAAAACCAAATGCAGAAGGCAGGAGAATGAATCAAGCACACTCGATAGATACAATTCTCGTCTCGGGACAGCGATCGGACCCACAGCCTGAGCGGAGGGAGGGCTCGACGCACGACTGACTGTCCGTGATCTGCAAGACTACTACTTGGCGCGTAAAAAACAAGAATATAAAAAAGGAGAACAGAAAAGAGAGGATGATTGGACACATTCTAAACTCATAATAAACCAGTAATGATCATTATGAACATCTAGAAAGAAGACCTGCCTACAACATGAACTGATGATGATAATCTCAAGGACTAGCCGACTCT